GGCACAGTGGCTTATGCCTCTAATCCCAGCACTTTGGGAGGCGAAGGCAAGTGGATCGCTTCAGCCCAGGAATTCAGGACCAACCTTGGCAACGTGGTGAAACCTCATCTCTATCAAAAATACAAAAATTAGCCAGTTTCAAAACCTGGTCTCAAAACAAATAGATTAAGACTTAAAATTTAAAAGTAATATTAAAAAAAAAATTTTTTAAAGGCCAGGCATGGTGGTTCACACTTATAATTTCAGCACTTCAGTAGTCCAAGGAAGGCAGACTGCTTGAACGCAGGAGTTCAAGACCAGCCTGGCCAACATGGCGAAACCTCATCTCTACTAAAAATATAAAAAATTAGCCAGGTGTGGTTGTAGGCACCTGTAATCTCAGCTACTTGGGAGTATGAGAAAGGAGAATCACTTGAACCTGGGAAGCGGAGGTTGCAGTGGGCCAAGATCGCATCACTGCACTCCAGCCTGGGCAACAGAGCAAGACTCTTGTCATATCCATCACAAGAGCTTACCATCTTCAATGGCATTTTTGATAGCACGAAGTCCATCTCTTATGGCATCCTTGATTTGTGTGAGAGTATGCTTATTTGGTCCTTTAACCAACAAGGTGACAGAGCGAGGGTTAACACACTCCTCAATAAAAGTGAACTTTTCTTCACCCTAAAGGATGGCACAAAAATATTTAACTTTAATATTTAATGTCATTCTAAAATCAACACTTAATTTATACTAGAATGCAATCTTCATTTGAATTTTTCTTATCAAGCATAACTAAAGATACGTTTTACAGGAGTTAAGTTATATCTGAACTCTTAACATTTAGGTAAATAAATTGTAAAATCTGTTCTGTGAATTAGATCTGAAAACACAAAACATGAAATAAAAGATCAAGTAGTATTTTAAAAAAGAAAGGCTTAGTATTCACTTTATAACCACTATTCACAGAAATACTCACTAATGTGTACTCATATACAAGACCAGCATGTCCCAAGCAATCTACAGTGAGATCTTCAAAAGAATTCACAGCCATTCCACCACAAGCAAGAGAGAGTCTGAAATTACATATATGTCACCATAGCTCGATTATGGAAAACATAAATAATAATTTCTTAGAGGAGAAAAGATATGCAGAAGACTGTATTGTTACTGTATTGTACTGTTTGGGGTTTTGTTTTTAATTGACTAATAAAATTGTCTATATTTATCGAGGGCAACATGATAATTTTAAATATGTATATATTGTGGAATGGCTAAATCAAGCTAAGAATACAATACATTGTATATTCTTGGATGGGTTTGCAAAACATTTTTTAAAATAACAATATATTGTTATTAACTATAATTGCCATGTTGAACAATAGATCTCTTGAATTTATTCCTCCTAACTGAAATTTTGTATCCTTCCACCTACGTGTCTCAATGCCCCTCCCCTCCCACTGCCCCAGCCCCTGGTAACCACCATTCTACTATCTACTTCTATGAGTTCAACTTTTTTAGATTCCATATATAAAAGTGAGATCATGCTGTATTATGTTGTATTGTTTTGTTTTTAAAATCTGTTTTAAAAAGATAAAAACTTTCCTTATACTTCAACAAAGTTCTGCAGTAAGTTAACAACCTTGCTTTTTGATAGTTCAATTATTTATTTAAACTAAGAACAAAATTTGGATTTTTTATGCTACTCTTTTGTTCAACAACATTTACACATAAGCTAAAAGGAAAACACATGGGATAATTTCCATTTACTCTGTTAAAAAGTTAGGATATATAATTATCTACAAGCTTACCTTTCCATATTTCTTCTTTTTGCTCTGCGAAGAGCTACTATTCCATGTTTTGCAAGAGTATCTAAGGAAAATGGATCAATTCCCTATAATCAAGTTAACACAAAAATTATAAACATGTTTTAAACCAGTATTTCTCAAACCTTTCGGTCTCAGCACCATTTTATTTTCTTAAAAATTATTAAGTACCCAGAGAGTTTTTGTTTATGTAAGCTCAATCTATAATATTTATCATGTTATAAAAACTGAGAAATTTTAAAATATTTATTAATTCATTTATGTTAATATATACAATGTTTTAAATTAAAATTTACTATACTTTTGAAAGCAAAAATATATATAGTGAGCTAGTGGTGGCATTATTTTACACTTTTGCAAATCTCTTCAATGTCTATCTTCATAGAAAACAAATGGATTCTCATATCTGCTTCAGTATTCAGTTTGGAATGATATGTTATTTTGGTTTAAGTTTATGAAGAAAATCTGGCCCCACACAGACAAATACTGTAAAGGGAGTAATATTTTAATAAACTTTCAGACAACTATAGAAATTCTTCTTTGATACTATACCAAAACTCAACAAATAATAGCTTCTCAAAGGTTAGTTTCACTATGAAACCATAGCAATGAGCTTTTAATACTATCTCACATTAAAACACATTGGTGTAACTAGAACACTGAATGGATTACTTATCCATGTACGATTTTATAAAAATCATGCATTTTTAGTCATGTAGATAGTATTAGTTCACTGAGTTACGCAAAGTTCCCACATGTTGACACATTTCATGTATAATATGTTATGTTATACATGTGGAAACTTTGCCTCAAAGAACAAAAAGTCACATTTGTTCATATCACTACTATTATCAGGAAGGTCTTTTAAGTACTGGAAAGCTGTCAGGCTCACATGGCAGATACAAGTTTTCTGAAATTCTAATTTTTGCTTAAAAGTTCAAATGTTATTGACAACAAATACTGTCAGTTGTTTTAGGTGATAGGATTTCTTCATTCATTTTTGAGAAAAATCTACCAAATACCCATATCTAAATAACCATAGTTTGTCTGCCAGTCATTCTTTCAGATAAAAGTGGCATTCTATGAAAAAGTAGCTAGTTTAGCTTGCAATTCAAACAATTACACAAGTGCTTTCAAGACAACCAGCATATTTTGGTAAGCAATAGAAGTGCTTTGTGGTTCCTAGTTCCATAATCCCAACACTTTGGTAGGCCAAGGCAAGAGGATCACTTGAGGCCAGGAGTTTGAGACCAACCTGCACAATATGGCAATACCCTGCCTCTACAAAANAAAAAAAAAAAAAAAAAAAAAAAAAAAAAAAAAAAAAAAAAAAAAAAAAAAAAAAAAAAAAAAAAAAAAAACCTTAAAAATCAGCCAGGCATGGTGGCACATAGCTGTAGTCCTGGCTACTTGGGAGACTGAGGTGGAAAGATCACTTGAGCCGAGGAGATCAAGGTTGTAGTGAGCTATAAGTCTGCCACTGCACTCCAGCTTGGGTAACAGAGCAAGACCCTATCTTAAAAAAAAAAAAAAATGTTTTGCGCATGCCTCATATTTTGTCATACATAATAATAAAAGGACGCATATTTAAGAATCCAAATTTAATACAATTAATAAGTTTTACCACTTGATCAAGACATTCTTAAATGAAATGTGGCTCTCACAGCACCTAAAAAGAAAAGGAAACTAACTGCCTTTTTTTTCCACTGCAAGTGAGTAGTGGTGTGGCAGTAAGGAATGCAATAACTACTAGTATAGATTGGCGCTACTTCTTTGATTTGTACTAAGATGCCAGCATTTTTACAGATTGCTTTTGCAACATCATTGCAAATGTCAACACAATGTAAAAGGCATAATTATTATTATGAAAATAGTTTTTGACCTCACAGACTCTCTGAAAAAATCTTAGGAATTCCTAGGGGTCCACAAACCACACTTCAAGAAATGAGTAAGAACATTTACAAATAATTAAAATCTAAACTTTCTTTCTCACCTTTTGATTAATGACAACAAATCCTTTATTGGACTGAGCACAGACTTTGTCCTTCAGGTCTATTATTTTTTGTACTCTATCTTCAATAAATTTTCTTTCAGCTTTTACCAATTTCTCTTTCTCTTCTGCAGTCTTATAAAAGAAACCAGAGCTCACCTCTCTAAAAGATTAATAAAAGCAGCTAGTAAAGGCAGGAGGAAAAAGGAAAAAAGGTGGAAGTAGTCTACACCATACATCTGGAAGGAAAGAGAGATTTTTTGTTTTGTTTTGTTTTGTTTTTGAGACGGAGTCTCGCTCTGTTGCCAGGCTAGAGTGCAGTGGCATGATCCCAGCTCACTGCAACCTCTGCCTCCCAGGTTCAAAGGATTCTCCTGCCTCAGCTTCCTGAGTAGCTGGGACTACAGGTGCAAGCCACCACACCCAGCTAATTTTTTTTTTTTTTTTTCCTTAGTAGAGACAGAGTTTCACCATGTTGGCCAGGATGGTCTTGATCACTTGACCTTGTGACGCACCTGCCTCAGCCTCCCAAAGTGCTGACATTACAGGCGTAAGCCACTGCGCCTGGCCCCAGGAAGGAGATTTTAAAACACCTTTAGAAAAAAAAATTTCAAAAGTTGTAAAGAGAAAGTAACACGTACGTTTTTTCATATTCTAGTGAAACATTGCAAATAAGGATGAATGCATCTTCTACTCGCTTCTTCATGTCTGGATGACGAGCACCATGATCCAAAACTAATCCTCGGATCAACCTATTAAAAATATTAATGTTTCTTCTTTGAATATATACTCTAAAATTTGGTATAAAATTATAATTATACTCTTAAAATTATATCAATACTGCCAGGACACACATTGTTTCCTTGTAACAACTTTAACAGTTTTTGGTGTTTTTGTTTTTTGTTTTCAGATATGGGGGTCTCACTATGATGTCCAGGCTAGCCTCAAACTCCTGGGCTCAAGCAATCCTCCTGCCTCAGCCTCCCAAGTAGTTGGGACTGAAGGAGTGCACCACCTCACCCACCTCCTTGCACTGACTTTAAACTTAACATATCATTAGTAAAATTAGGAAAGAGAATCTACTTTAACATAGTGTGACTATGAAGTTGCAATAAAAAGTCAAGCCAGAATTATTTTCCAAGTTACATGATTCAAAAATATGACACAGCATATCACGTAATGAAAGATATGCATACAAATGAGTTTCTTAGGAACATTTATTCAAAATGATTATATGGAATAATGAAAAATTATTAACCTAAACGTCCAACAATAGGGTATTATTCAGCAAATAATGACCCAACCATTTGATGGTTATAAAAAGTATATATAATAACATGCAAAAAATTTATAGGGCTAGCTGATAAGCATCGAATGACAAATTCCATATAAAGCACGACTATAACTATTCTTTTTAAAAACAACAACTTGGCATTAAAAAGAAAAAAATGAGAGAAACCTAAGAGTAGTGTTATGCTTGGGTGGTAGGAATACAGATGATTTGGAAAGGAGGTATTTTTTTCCTGTTTTCCAGATACTCTTTCAAGAACAAAAATTTTTTTAACTTTATGAAATTAATTTACAAAACATTTAGGGGATGGACTTTCTACTTATGAATGCTTTATAACTAAGTTTTGTTATACATTTAAAAAATAATTTGTAGTAGTTCAACATAATTATAAGGAAGTTTTCAAAATTTTAATTTAACTGCATTGCTCCACCTCTTAATAGAATGTAAACATGTCTAGGAAGAAACAAACAAAAATACTCAATGTTCAACATTCCTCACTTTTCAAGCCTCCTTCACTTTTCTCCCTTCCCACTCTCGGCAAATGGCATTGTTTCTTTGAGAAAATAGAACCATTGTCCCAATATTACCTCTACTAATCCACTTGCACTTGAACCTGAACCTCCCACTACTATGAAATGAACTGTCCATGTTTCTCTCTATGGGTAACCCCTCTACTTATGTACTGGATTCCATTTCCCCTCTCTGTTCTTGCACTGTCCCTAATCCCCCATATCAGTACTTGCCTACAGGACGATCCTTACCAGCATACAATCTTGTGGTAACAATTCCTATCATTAATACAAAGAACCCTTCTCCCTCAGCCCCATTCCCATATTCCCTTCTAGCTACTGCCCATTTCTCTGTTCTCCTTTATAGCTAAATTTCTCTCAGTTACCATTCTCTCTTGAGCCCACCTTCAATACGACTTTTATTTCCACCTCTTTATTCAATCAGCTCTCATTAAAGCTGAAAAAGTAAATGTTTTTCAAATATAACAATCAACTCTCAGTTCACAGCAATGTACTCAAACTTTCAGCAGCATATGACACAGCTGATTACTGTCTCCTTGAAATACTTTCTTCTCTTGGCTTCTGGGGCACCACTCTCCCTTGGCTGTAATGCCTCACTGACTGCCCCCTTCTCAGTTCCTTTTGCTGAATCCGCCTCATCTTCTCAAACTCTAAACATCCAAGTTCCCAGGGCTCATGCTTTAAAATTCCTCTACTATGTTCACTTCCCAGATGGTCTCATTAACTCATGGCTTTAAGTCATCTATACACTAATGATTCTCAAATACATGCTTCTTGTGCAGACCTCTATTCTGAACTCCAGACACATCTCTCCAACTTATTACTCAACATCTCCACATGGATCCCTAATAGGCATCTCAAACATAACATTCTCCAAACTGAACTGTTGATTTATTTCCCCAAATCATCTTCTCCTAGTCTTCTCCATCCAAGAAACAGCACCTCCACTTTTCCTGCTGATCATGCAAAAGCCCAAGAGAGATCCCTGACTGCTCTGTTTCTGTCACGTCCTATGTTGAACCATCAACAAATCCTATTGCCCTTTCATTCTAAGTACACCCTAATCTAATAAACCATGTTCATTTCACACTTGTACTACACCAGCATTCCTAACTGGTGTCCAGTTTCTGCCCTTGCTCCTCTTTTACCTCCCAATCAGCCATTTTGTGTATATTCCTCACACAAAAAACACAGATAATCTTCTGAAATATAAATCAAGAATTTGTTATCCTCAGCAATGGTAGGCTAACTGGGATCAGTCCTACTATCAAAAACAACTAAACATGCTGGCTGAAAAGCAAAAAGCTTAGCAACATTGGAGAGCTATAAGATAGTAAATAATCACTAGGCCAAACTGAAATAAAACAGAAACTCCAAGAGGTAAGTAGAGAACTGCAGAATCTGTAGATTTTTTTTATCTTAAAGTCATTTGACAATCCAGGCAAATCTGAACTTTGGTTTCAATGTCTTCACAATGAGAAGAAAACAGAATCAAAAGCTCACCCAAGGTGGAGTGTCTTACAGGAGACCCTCTTCACATTAAGTTGGAACCACAACGGACTACATACTCAGGATTATCCAGAAGGAAGGGCTAGAAATAATCAGCCCTCACATGGACTTACAGTCAGAATTCATATCAAATGGATATTCCCAAAAACCTCAAGCTGTGAATTTAATTTAAAGTAGTCCCTAGGCTCCTTGAGGCAGCAAATGCAAATACTCTCTGCAGAAGGGCAATTTCATTCTAGGTCTCAAATTATTTCTACCAGTACTTTTTTCAAGTACAATGAATGGCACATATGGAAACAAAGCATGATGAGCATGAACCAGAAAATACAATAAATACCAGAAAGAGATGAGTCAAAACTTTAGATATTATAATTACCAAACATGAACTATATGTTTAAAGAAAGAAAAAAGGGCAAGTCTGGAAAGATCTGCAAGGAATAGAAAACCATAAAAAGTAATATGGCATATTTTAAAAAGAACCAAATAGAACTTCTATAAATAGTAAATAAGGACATCCACACATATACACACAGATATTACAAATTCAAGAAAAAAACAGAAAAACATCCATATGTCTAATAAAAGAATGTTAAAATGTTTATAGCAACACTATTAATAATGGTCAAAAATTGAAAACTACCTAAATGCCAATCAACAGTAGAATGAATAAACTGTGGTATACTAACACAAGAAAACACTAAATAGCAATGAGAATGACCAATCCACTAATCACACAAAAATACAAATGAGTCTCACAAACAATGTTAAGTGAAAAAAGTCAGAAACAAATCTACCTTATGATTCCACTTATACAAGTACAAAACAGGTAACAATCTATGCTGTAGAAACTCAGGTTACTCTAGAAGAAATACGGCTGAAGGGAGCAAAAGAGGGGCTTTTAAGGTACTAGTAGTTCTGTTTCTTGTAGAGTGATGATTACACAGATGTATCTGGAAAATTAATCAAGCCATATTGATAGTATAGGTGTACGTTTCAGTGTGTATTACACTTCATTAGAAAGTTTTTTTTAAAACCAAGGGATTGCTTTTAGAGTAGACATTGTTTAAAAGAAAATTAGGGAACAACAAAATAAATCACTAGAAATTATCCAGAAAGCAACACAAAAGACAACAAGACAAAAGGGACATAAAAGACAAAATTAAGAACATCAAGCAAACATTTAACTGGAGAAAGAGAAAAAGGGATGAACAAAAGAAATGTTTAAACCGATAATGGATAGAAATTTTCCAGAATCAGATAAACAATAACAATTCACAGACTCAAAAGCCGGAAAATGCCAACCAGAATAAACAAAAAGAAATCTATACCTAGCTACATCACAGTAAAAGTATAGAATACCAAAGACAAAGAGAAATATCCTAAAATCACCTAGGTAAATAAAGGACTCACAGCTTTAAAAGACTCATGGCTAATTTCTGTACAGCAATAATGAAGACTAGAAAACAATGGAACAATATCTTCAATCAGCTGAACGAAAGTAACTGCCAACCTATTATACACATGATGAAAGTATCAAAGAATAAAGATAAAATGCATTTTCAGGCAAAGAAAAACTGAAAGTACAACTCCAACAAATTATCACTAAGGAAAATCTATAGGATAAAATTTAGGCAGAATAAAAACATTCCCATGGAAGGCTGAGGTGCAAAAAGCTACACAGATGGCCAGGTGCAGTGGCTCACACATGCAATACCAGCACTTTGGGAGGCCAAGGCAGGCGGATCACTTGAGGTCAGGAGTTCGAGACCAGCCTGGCCAACATGGTGAACCCCCATCTCTACTAAAAATACAAAAATTACCTGGGCATGGTGGTGGTACACACCTGTAGTCCCAGCCACTAGCGAGGCTGAGGCAGGAGAATCTCTGGAACCTGGGAGGCAGAGGTTGCAGTCAGCCAAGATCACACCACTGTACTCCAGTCTAGGCAACAGAGGGAGACTCTGTCTCAAAAAACAAACAACAAATAGCTAAAAAGAGCAAATCAAGTTGGAAATATGAGGATAAATCTTTACCAACATTGCATGAAACATAATAATACTATCCTCCTTCTGAATAATATATTTGGGAGAAAGTAAATGGAGATATTATTCAGATGTGGGTAAAGATATTAAGTTTAAACCTCTATAAGTATAATGTAATTTCTTGATTAATCACAAAAAGAACAATGAAACTTGCAAACTAGTAGAGAAGGAAAATGAATCGATAAAAAATAATAAATTGAAAAGATAAAAGAAAAAAGAAAGAATAAGTGGGGAAGAGTAGAAAGTATAAAACAAGAAAATGGGAGGATCACTTGGGCCCAGGTGGTCAAGGCTGCAGTGAGCCATAACTGCACCACTGGCCTCCAGCCTGGGTGATAGAGAGAAAGAAAGAAAGAGAGAAAGAGAGAAGGAAGGAAGAA